GAAACATATGTATGTCCCCTACCACCTGTTGTTTGATATAAGTATCCTTAAAACAACAACAAAAAACAACAGAAGATTGTTCTATTATCCCCTGTGCAATAAAAGTGATATGGAATGTTCCAGGATTTTTCTGTGATAAACAAACTTTTTCTAGGATAAATAAATTAACTGGTGCCATGACCTTGTGGGTGGGAAACACCCCAATAAGGAGGATAGTTTCAGGGGCTGTGCTGCAGATGAATCCAGTTAACTCCGGGTTTAAAAGACCATTTTAAGACTACCACTGGTGGCTGTTATACAAGAAAGCCAAACAGCCAAAAAATGAACAAAGCCCATCACCACATCAGAGAACAAGGCCCACTGAAGTCTCTCCTGTCTGTGGGGAAGTCAAAGTAATTCTTTCTCATGCTTTCCTTCCTGGCCTTCAAAGAGATCCTGTGACTGCTTTGGCCTCCGCTGCCCACATCTTCCTGCTAGGCCTTGACCCATCTGGCTTTTTACAGCCTTTTGTTTCTGACAACCACATAGGCTTTTGTAATCTTTCACATCGCTTCTGAGTTGTTAGGCTGCTGCTAGCTCCTAGAGTTCCCCTCAACTATCTGCTGCTTCCTCCCGCCATTCTCCAAACATACAACACCCCTCAAAACTATTGTAGGTAGTCTATGAATACATCTCTCCATCTTTTTATTTGGAAAAATTTGAAACATACAGAAAAGTATAAAGACTAGTACAATGAACCCTTAAGTTCTTCCATAATGACAGCTAACCTTTTGCCACATTTTAATTCTCTCTATAGATATAATGTACATATATGAATACGTATACATTTATACACACAGGAATTTTGTACTATTTTATATAATTTTTTGGCTGAATCATTTGAAGGTATTTTATAGGTGTTATGGCACTTCATCTCTAAATACCTGCTCCTAAGTAACCCATGTAAGTTTCACACCTAATAAAACGAACAATAATTCAATTATCCAAAATCCAATCCACATTCAAATTTCCTAAAGTGTCCTCAGAATTTCTTTTACAGCTTTATTTTTCCAAACCAAGGCTCAATCAAGATTTACCCATTGCATTTAATTGATTTGTCTTTTGTCTCAATCTAGAACAGTCCTCCACTATTTCTAATTACATTTACTTTGAATAATGTAGGCCAGTTTTCTTATGGAATGTGCCATGTTCTTGATCTGCCTGAGTTTCCCCTCAGGGTTATTTCACTTGTTCCTCTATCCCTGTATTTCCTGTAAATGGGAAGTTGGGTCAGAAGTATTAAGTATTTTTGGGAAGGTCCCTTCATAGGTGATGCTGTTACTTCATACTGCATCAAATCTCAAGGCCTATGCAGTCAGGCATGGCACTGCCAGCGGTGGTGTGAACACTAGGTTAAGTTGGTGACTGCTGAATTTCTCATTATATGGTATATCTTCCCTTTTGTAATGACTAAGTACTCTGTGGGGTGATACTCTGACAGGGTGAACATCCTCCTTTTTTTCTGCCTCCTTTTACAGGATGGGTTTTAGCTTCTATGGATGACCTTTGCCCAAGTCATTGCAGACGGCACATGGTCATTTTTCCAATTCTATCATTTCATCTACATTTATTGGCTGGCATTCTCCTATTAAAAAAAAATACCTTCCCTACATTTGATTTTGAGTATCACTCTGGACTTACAGATTATAAAAATACATTCAATGCTTTGATAATACATGGCGATGATTATTCTTTTAAAGACTCGTATTGGCTCACATTTGGCTGGGGGAGTCCCCTGGAGTTGGTCTGTGAACTTTCGACTTGATCCTATTAGTTTGGGGGCACTTCCTCTCACATACTTTCTAGGTCTGAGACCTGAAATCAACCATTTCTCTGACAAATGTGGTTTCTTTTGTGGGGGATGATATCTAGATATCAAGATATGGGCACCCTACACTGGGGTATCATTACATCTAAGAAATATATTTAAAAACAAGTCGCCAGAGAGCTACTGCCCCCCAAAACTTTTTATTTTCTATTTCTCTCTCAAGAGTTTTAACCAACATAGTTTACTTTATCTATACAAAACATACTTCAAGATTACATTATTAATAGTACTATTAGCAATACATCTGATTTTTTTTGTTCTTTTTGCCCTCAGAATACATCCCACAAAGAATGTATGTAAGAATATTATTAAACACCACTTTCAAATACCATAGGCCTAAAGAACTTTGAATAACTCTGCCATTTCTGAATCTTGTAAAGCCTCTGATTAGAATTTTTTTCCTAACTGAAGGAATCCTTTTCTGTTTCTAGTGGCACATTTCCTCTACTTTAGTGGTACACATAAAACAGAATAACTGAAAATGCACATGCTGAGACTAGCAAGGCAATGCAGACTTATGTGAACAAAATCAGGAATGCTATGACTGATGAGCATCTGCATTGGTCAGCATCTCTTTAAACTTGTTTTTCCATCAACCTTAAATGAATGATGCTTTTTAAGAGTCATCCCAGGGTATGTTTGCAATGCACTGTACTCCAAAATACTTAGTAAGTACAAAAAAACCATTAGCTTGCCCTGAAGCATATCTCCATGTAAACATTCAAAATACTTATTCTGACTACAGAAGGCAAAGGGCATATTCAGTTGTTATGACGATGTACATACCTCTAATTCATCTCCTTAGGCATCTGTTGAGAGATCAAACAATGTGGGCGAATCTGGGGCTACTCTTAAGTTAGGAAGGAATACAATGAAACCTAAATTAAAGAACCCAGTGTCCCATTTAACCAACATGTATTAGTTCATTGTGCCCTGCAGTGGATTGGCGCATTCCCAAAGGCAGCTGCTATACTTTTTTTTAGGAGTTTAAAATTTTCTTTGGAAAGAAAATAAGTGAAAGTGAAATAGCTATGTAGTTGAAAGATAATTTGGAGTCTTTATATTTTACTTACTACTGGGTTTCAATAAAATACCAGGTTTAAAGAACTAGAGATTTTTAGATACTGTTCTTTTTGAAGTATAAACATGATTAAATTTGAACAAGAATGTTTTCAAAATCATACACTTGAAAGGAGATTTTGACACTTCAAAGGAAGTGGAAAGTCAGAACACCTATTTGAAGTATCATTTTTTTTAAAGATTTTATTTATTTATTTTTAAAGAGAGGAAGGGAAGGAGAAAGAGAGGAAGAGAAACAGCAATGTGTGGTTGCCTCTTGAGCACCCCCCGCCTGGGGACCTGGCCGACAACCCAGGCATGTGCTCTGACTGGGAATCCAATCAGTGACCCATTGGTTGACAGGCTAGTGCTCAATCCAGTGAGCCATACCAGCAAGAGCTTGAAGTATCACTCTTAAGTCAAAGCTTATCCTTGCTCCAGTTTTGTCTTTAATTGCACATAGAATCATTGTAAAAATTAAATAAATACATTTAAAAATAGTGCCTGGTACACAACTTTTAACCATCACCATCTCTTTGTGAGGAACTAATATTCAATATAGCTTTTCTTTCCAAATATAATCTATGTTGCACAGAGGGAAAGATTAAAAGCAATCCTGAAAACAAACACTATCAAGATGATAAAAAACAAACAAACAACTATACTGGAGCTTATAATAAATATTTCCCTATTTTCTGATCCAGGGGGTTCACGAAGAGTTTTTACTTGAGAGATTTTTACACAAGTGTAAATTTTATTTTAAATTTAGAAAAGATCCTCTTGGCATTAGTTTTAAAAATACAATTAGAATAAGAGCAGTTGTCAAAAATGACATTATATTTTAAACAAATTTCTACTATATATTAAGGAAAAGTTCGCCCTTTCTGGTTTGTCTTCCCCTTTTAGCTACACACTGCTGCCCTCTGCAGCATTTTCAGTCCTTGTGAATTGTCACTCCAGCAGATAATGTGACTCAATATGAGGGATATGTGTGTGTAAAAGGGAAGGCCCCTTCAGAAAACAAAAACAAAAACCCCCACCCCCCAAGGAAAAACAAGAAGGCACTAAGGTAAGATGTTGTCACCGTCCAAAAGTTAGTTAATCTGAGAAAAGGGCTTTCTTAAGGTTCTAGCAACAGATCCCTATCTCCTGGCATTCACATAGTAGCCCCTGTATCACAGGTCTGTATATATTTTTTTTATAACTAGTTTAATTGAGGGAAAAAAATATACATATAAAAATGGTAAATAGTAAAAAGCGTAACCAGTGAAAACATTTAGTTTCCACTCCAAATCTCTGGCTAAGTTTGTGAGTTTATCCGTTCATAAGTAATGTATCATTAGAAACATACAAACTTAATGGACATTTCTTTTAAACATAAACGGAAGTATTTGCACCACTGTTTATCACTCAAGATTATAACTCCGAGATTGCTCCCGATCAAGAGAGATTAACCTATATAATTAACGTAAACCAAATAGGTTCTAACAAAATAGGTTTTAAATAAATCAATCTCCAATAAGTTCTGCCATGATTTAGTTTTTTGTTGCTACTAAGATTATTATAAAAAAGCGGTCGTTCTCAAATTTGAGCGGACGTCGAGTTCACCTGTTCACCTGGAGTGCATGTTAAAACAAGTTGCGGAGCCCATCCCCAGTTTCTGATTCACGTCTAGGGGTGTGTGTTGAAAATTCGCGTTTGTAATATACTACCAGGCGATGCTGATGCTGCTGGTAAGAACTAGTACGAATGCTGCATTAAACCCCGTTACTCCCATCTCCCAGCACTGCTCGCCCAAGGAGGTACACAGGATTGCTCCCCTGGGAACCTCAAGAAGGGACCGACATCAAACAACCCCACGACAAGCCCCCTCCCCAACCGGAATTGGTGAAAACAGGCCTTACGTCGCGCGGGGCGCAGCCCAGCTACGCAACTTCCTTTCTACTAAACCCCGCCCGCTCTGCGTCCTCAGCGCGAATAAGGGCTTGATGACCAATGGGCGATAAGAGTCACGTGAGCTGAGCGAGGTCTCGCGAGGGATTTTAAAATCTCGCGAAACTTCACCCGCCTCTGTCTTCCTCCTGCCAGTGCCCGGCTTTCCTTTCCTCCCCTCCCCCTCACGGTCGACCAAGTTCTTTTCAGAGAAGTCGCCTTGTCGCCGCGGGGATTTTTCGAGCTGCTCCTGCCACTGTCGCCGCTGCCACCCCTGGGCTCATTTGCCCCGACCCCTTCCCGCCGCCCCGCCCCCAACCCCACGCAAGGTAACGAACCGGTGAGGGAGAGTAAGGCTTCGCCGGGCCGCGGCCTCTCCCCAGGCGCGGGAGGCCCGAGGCCGAGTTGCCGGTCGCGCTGGAGAGGCCTGGGCGCCGGCCGAGGGTGTTGGGAGCCCCAGCCTCATCTCAAGAGTTGAGCCCTGGCCCCGGTGGTGGTTGGGGCCTCCGGGCCGTGGCGGAGAACCTGGCTAACCCGGGGAAGCCGTCGGGTGGGGTTGGAACGTAGGAGGCCGCTGAAGGACAACCTCGGCAGTTTCGGGCGGTGCCTGTTTGGGGCTGTGGTTCCCGGCCCGCCGGGCATCCGCAGCCTTCGCGCGTTCGGTCTCCCTGGAAGCTAATGTTTGAATTTGGAGGCCTGAAATAGTCGGCCAAGTTGTGGCGGGCTTTGAGGTCTTGGGTGGATGGGGGGCAGCCCGGCTTGCCCTCTCCGTCTTGGAGCCCTTCCAGATTCCAGGCTGTCGTTGGACGGGAACTGTAAGATAGGGAAGGGTCCTCTGGAACCCGGTGCGTTTGCTCACTCGTCGAGAAGGGATTCTGTCGTATCTTGTTCCCAGGGGAGGATGAGCCGGATTTGGTGAAAGGCACGTTCCTTAGGATGGGTTAAATGGGAGAGAACTTGGGCTGTTTCTTTTACTGAAGGAAATAGACCTGCTCGGAGAAGAGCTTCTAAACACATTCATTAATTGAATAGGGCGTGTAGAGAGTGTTATTTGTGTAGTTAATCCAAAAGCCACTTATATTTGGTTTTGGAAATATTCTTTAGTGCATATTAATACATACATATATATTTTGAGTCTTGACGCTTCCAGCAGATTAGTGCTTTAGTGCTTTTGGGGGAGGGGTGAGGAGATAAACAACCCCGTTGTTTGGGACCAACACAGTACAGTGCCTTTCTTATTATTTAAGAAAATTAGAAATTATCTTTTTCGTTCATCACTAAGTGTTTTCTGTTTCTGTATAGAATTTATCGGGCATGTTTATAATATTCAGAATCCATTCCCTTGAAGTATGTGGTTTGGCTCAGAGAGACAGCTTTTCTCTGAACTAAGCAGTAGAGGTGATGGTGATAGACTGAGCTGCAGTGAATTATGAGTTGGGAGCAAATTGGCAAAGTTAATTCAGGCACACAGACAATTATTTTCTTTATGGTGTTTTTGTTTTGTTCAGTTTTCATGGCCTTACCCTTTTTTCCCTCCAGATGTCAGAGGATCTAGCAAAACAGCTGGCAAGCTACAAAGCTCAACTCCAGCAAGTTGAAGCTGCATTGTCTGGAAATGGAGAAAATGAAGATTTACTAAAATTAAAGAAAGATTTACAAGTAAGTATGAGCGGACACTTACAGTTACATTATTCATAAAGAATAGTTCTGTGTTTTTCAAATGATTTATTGCTTATCCGCTATAGATATCCAAAGTACCCCTTGGAGGTGGTGTTTACCCTGCCCCCCCCCCCCTTTGTGTATATTCCCACAGGAATATATGGCTTGTAGAAGTAAGGTTGCTTCCTTAGTTTGCATACATCAAAATGAGTGGAACATTGGCCTTTGTTATGTAAATCTCGTAGTCTTACAATTCTAAAAAATCAGTTTATTTTAGAAGTCTGTCAAACTTACTATAGAAGTGATACATATAACTTTAGAGTGGGAAGTGCTTGTACATTTAGTGAACTGGCAAAGAAAATATAGTTCAGAAAGTAACTAAAATTGAAGGAGAAAAATAAAACGTGATTAAGATTCCTTTTAATGGCACAAGAGTCTTTGAAAATGAGTGTGTCTGTCAAAGCTAGTGGGTAACACCTTGTATTGAAAACACAGTGTAAGAATATCAGAGATTTGTTTTCTGTGTAAACATTACATAATATTTGAACTTAAGTATAGGTTTTACAGTGTAGTTGTTGACATTTGTTGAAGTTAAATTGAATTTATGTGAAATTCAACTTGTGTGGAATTCAGTTGGTATGATACCTGCTTTTAAAAACTGCACTGATTGGGAGGTGGTTCAAGACAACTAAAGCCTTAACAGTAAATACCTGTTATTTCTCAGAACACCAGGTTGATTAATAAAAAATCATACAAGATTTGTAAATACATAGGACTTTTCATCTTAACAAATTTGAGAACTTAAAATTTTGAACCTGATGTTTTGGTAAGTTTTAAAAGGTGTTTTGATTAGATGATCTTTCTTTACTGATTCAATACAAGGCTTTAATCATCTCTATCGTAGATAAATCCTTTCCCTCTCTTTTATTATCTTTTGCCCATTAAAATTAGTATTTTAATACTAATTTGGAAGAGCTTATCTGGGCATAATTAAGATGTTGAATATTTTCAGGTTCAAATTCTAGATTTAGGATGAAGTTACAGGAAGTTGCAATGGTACATTATTTTTAAAAACAGAACCCCTTATCAATATATAGAAGTCAGGCCAGTGGATTTCAGGGTGCTAGTCAGTAAGGAAGAGATGTTTGGGGAGCAGTTTTTCCCACTCCCAGGCCAACTTTCTTCTTGCCTCAGAGATCTGGGTGTGCCCCTATTACCTGTTACATTTTAAAAGCAGTTCTTTTTTATTTTAAAGAAAAAGATTGTGTGCAGCATTGTGTGTATTGGGAGAAAGGGTCTGTGTGGCACTGGTCAGGGGGAAGTTGCAAGTGAAAGTTGAAACAGCATGATTATGAGGACTTTTTAATACATCTGGAAAAATTGTCAGAGCCGAGGCAGAGTTGCCCTATAGTGACATGATCTATAGTGGAAGTACAGTAGGGAGAGAGACCATTGTGATAGGCCTTGTAGTAAACACATAAATGGCTTACTTATGATTGAGTTAATAATGCCCTGGGGTCATTTATCTGTAAAACATTCTCTTTTCTATAACCATTTAGAATAGCACTGTACCATAGAACTTTCTATAATGATGGAATTGGTCTATATCTGCTATGCAGTACTGTACCTACTAGGCACATGTGGCTATCAAATATTTGAAATATGGCTAAGGTAACTAAAAATCTGAATTTTTAATTTTAATTAAATAGCCACATACAGCTACTTTCCTATTGGATAGCACAGGTTTAGAAGCATAAGTTCTAACACTTCAAGTAGTAATAATACAGGATGTTTTCCTGACCGAACTTGATCACATTTTCTTTTCCTCTTCATCTATCATGAAAAAAATTTTCATTTTGGTTAGTAGATTTAGGTCTGTTTTGAACTAAAAACTACAAAGACGAAAGGCAACATTTAACTAGATAAAAAGCTGGAAAGAGTTTAGATATATTCTTCTACCTAGTAATTGTTGTCTCCAGTTACAGCTTCTATTTAGCATGGGTTTTAAATTTTTTTATTTCTTTTTTTCCTTCTCTCTTTCCTGGGCTATACCTCAGGTCATTGATGTTTAATTCTGCCTTTTATGTTTGCTGAAAAGTCTCTTCAGACTCACTGCGTTTGTGGGCTCCTTTGTATTTTTGTGTTCCTCTTATGGCATGTACTTATTCTGGTTATGAATTTGTTTGGCCTTCCATTTATGACAGATACTCTTCCTGCACTTTTTTCAGTGACTTCCATTTTGTCAGTAAGGCTTCCATTTTTATTTCTTAAAACATACGGTTTTTTCTAAACAACAGATTTACTCGTCAGGCAGTAAATTTGATCTATTGACGTTCTAATTAATTGCTATCTATCTATCTATTTATTTATTTTTTACTAAAAAATGTAGGTATAGTAAAATCCAGGCTAGCTAGCTGACTAGCTCCCCAGGCAGTCTATGATAATCACAAAAATAGTCAATTTATTAAGCTGTTTTGCTAAATAAAACTGGTTCTAAAGGAGGCAGGGGTCAAGTCACTTGTCTCATATATTACAGTGGCTCTCTGCATCCCCGAAACGCCTTCCTTCAGTAAGCAGAGTGCTTGAGTGCATCCCTTTTGACCTGCTGATATGTAGATCACAACATCTGATGCTTCCTGGAATTGCCGATTACTGTAACTGCTGCTCATCTGTCAATGAAGGAGCAGTTTCAGAACTCAGACTTGGGGGAGGAAAAGTAATTAATGGTATGTACCTTTAAGAACCCCCTCATACATAAAATAGTTTCTCTGCTACTTTGGTCCATATGTACATGTGAAGAAAAAAATTCAGAAGGGTTTTCATAGTTCGTTGGGATGGGTATGTAAAATATGGCGAAGTAAAAAGACAACGAGGGATAAATGTGGATTTTTTTAAAAAGTAACTTCAGTGCAGAGCCCTGAAAATCCTTTATAACAGGCATAACTTTTCAGGAGATCGTATGGGCTCTTGACTCAGGCTTACATGAGTTTACATTCCTGGCCCTAAAAGTGGTTAATTAAAAACAAGACCGGATAACTTACTCTCCTTTGTATAGTACATGATATATTTATTTGGAAGTTCTTTGCTTTTATTTGCAAAGGATCATCAAATTAAAAGGTATTTGAATGGCTACTAGGCACCAAATAAAACTTCATTAAAGATATAACTCTACTGAATTTTTAATTTAAATCTGAGTCTTGTAGTTTTTTCGTTCACAAAATTTTTTAATTCACAAAACTGACCTTTCTTCAAGGGTTTAACATCGCCTCCACCCCCCACTCCCCTTTGAGGCTCAAATATTAGTTTTTCAGATATAGCCAGGAAGAGTTAGACTCTTAGGCAAGAGGTAATTAACGTTCTTGGCTACTGAACCAGAACTACTATTTCTAAAACTTCAATGGGAGCTAGAAGAACCTCAGTACAGAGTTCATTTTTCTTTCCAAACACACAAGGTGATGTTTTAAGGTATTTTAAATGCAGTAGTGGGAGAACACGTATGTAGGTTCTTAAATAAGATGATGCACAATATGGGTCTTCATTAGAGTAAAAATGTAGCAGATAGGTAGGAAATCTATCATTTGTACTATTTAGGTTTTTTAATCAGCCCTGCCAAATACCTCAAGTGAAGCCAATAAATGTAAGCCTGAATTACAAAAAATATTTGCCACACAGAAAGATATCGCTTGCCTGTGTGTGTTAACATTTATTTTTCCTTGTAAATGAAGCTGTGCTAATGTGCTTAACATTAAGGTATTGGGACAGTTTAAGTCTAACCTGGTAACTTGCTTACCCAGATGAGGTAAGCTTTATAGTAAGCGAATAGGAAGACTAATGGCTTTTTATATATACCTACAGTATTTTATTAGAAGTATGTGTGAACAGGAACATTTTTATTGTTAATAAGGCTGCTTCAAATGTGTTGGGGCTTTAGCGGGTGTGGGACATGTTGGCTAAGCACTTAATAGTTTAATGCTCTATAAAATAGTACATGAAATATATGTGACAATGATGTGAGATAAATGTGATCTTGAATCTAGTTCAGTTCATAATTGACTATTTCTCATCTTCACAGAGATCTATTTAACTAAAATTAACACTTAGAAATAATGCATAGTACAAGCTCAAGTGTACCCTATTTCTATTAGTATTTGAGGTTAAGTTGAAAGGCAGCTGTCTGGGATTAAATCCCAGCTACACCACTGTATAAAATAACTGTATCTCAGTTTCTACATGGGGATAATCACAGTACCTACGTTATAATGTTGTGAACTGCAGATTAACGTGTAGATTAACTTAAGTGCTACATGGTGAGAGAGCTGTCATCAAAAAGTAAAAGAACTTGCTTGTTGAAAATAGGTGACAATGTGAATTATAAAAATAATATTATGGTTTTTGTTTTTACTTTTTAGGAAGTTATAGAACTAACCAAAGACCTTCTGTCAACTCAACCTTCAGAAACTCTTACAAGTTCAGACTGTTTTGCTTCTGCGCAGCCCACTCACTCATGGAAAGTAGGGGACAAGTGTATGGCAGTCTGGAGTGAAGATGGACAGTAAGTGTAGAAAAAAAACTAACTATAACATGAAATAATAAAATAAAATGGTAAGATGTTTTTATTCAGTTTAAACTACCCTATTTTAATCTTTCTGTATAGCCAATATGGTTAATAAGAGCCAATTTGATTCTGGGGTGGTTGCGATTCATTCAGCTTCATTTTTAGCGGTGGATTAAGTTTTGGGCAGAAGAATGGCTAGGATTCTAGGGAAAAGAAAAACTGAAAGCAGAGGAAAATGAATGGGTATTTTAAAAAATAATCTAAATTCTTTTTTCCTCAACCTGAAAATTGAGTGAATGGTTGGCTGTCTTAGATGTTTGTGAAATTCGTACACTGAGATTGTTCTTATAAGAAATACCTTTTTCAAAGAGATTGACAAAGCACATTCAGTAGAAATGTAGGAGACTTTCCTGGCAATATATTGATTAGGTCTTCCTTTTGGGATAGAAGATGGCTAACTTGAACCACTCTTCTGCGTTATCTTTGCCAAAGGACTATTTGATTATAGAACTTTCATTTTAGACACATGTAGTAGTTGAATCACTGCAGTATAAGTCTTGTAGGCTGAGTACTAAACCTTTACTCACCTGCTTACAGCCATGATATCTTTACAGGTGTTATGAAGCGGAGATTGAGGAGATAGATGAAGAAAATGGCACCGCTGCAATCACCTTTGCTGGCTATGGCAATGCTGAAGTGACTCCACTGTTGAACCTCAAGCCTGTAGAAGAAGGAAGGAAGGCAAAGGAGGACAGTGGAAGCAAACCCATGTCAAAGTAAGTGACTTTTTAGGATTTCAACTGTAATCTTCCCCAATTAGGTATTTGAGATGGCTGCATAATCTATGTAGGTTAGTTTAGGGTGAGAAGATAATAATGCTATTTACCATTATTTCAGTATAAGGCCTTTCATTCTCTATATTTGTATGCTTAAGTAAGGTAAGGATATTGAGGTTCCCACTGAGGCATTTAATAAATATTTATTAAGCAGATACTGTGTATACTATCACTGACCCAGATGCTGGGGTTCCACCACAGTGAAGACAACCTACTTGGGCTTGTCCTCACTGAGTTTATAGTTTAGAAAACAAAATACCTAAAGAAGAACTTCCAATAGTAAAGTATAAAAGTTATGAAGGAAACATAATGTCTACTTTTAAGGGAACCAAAAAAAGAAAAAAAAGGTCCCTAAACTGCACTTAGTCATTAGGGCAAATTTCTTTGAGAAAGTGACATCTAAACTTTAGAGATTTGAAAAGCAAAGGCGTTAGCCAGCTAACAACCTAGAAGATACGACTTTGAGCAAGGTGTCTACCTTCTCTTTTCCTCATCTGTAAAACAGACAGTAGTATCTACATGATGGGCTTGTGAAGATTAAATAGCATTAATAAAGCATGTAGCATTATTCTCGACATGTAGTAAGAGCTCAGTAAATGTTTACTTTTAAAAAGGAAAATAAGGTGAGAACATAGAGGTAACAAGGTAACAAAGAAATCCGTATGGTAAAAACTTGGGGCTTGAAGGTGGCTGTTTTGAAAAGAGAAGTGGTTAGAGAGGTAGCAGCCAGGTGATAAAAAGCTTGAAGGCCACTGATGCATTTCAAGTGGAGGAGGTATGATGTGATCAGATTTGAGCTTTCCATTGATCACTGGCAGCAGAGAGAAGGCTGCTACCCAGGTGTAGATGGTGGCCTGAACCCAGGGAGTAGTAGAGTAAAGATGGCTAAGTGTACAGTTTGGCAGGTATTCAAGAGGCAGAATTAACAGTATTTTGGTTAAATCCTGCATTTATGCCACAATTGGCTGTCTTTTGTATTTGTCAAAGAGTTTTCAAAACTTAAGGTGCTACATAAATATATTTGAATTTAAGAAAATTGTCACCTATTAAAATAACATTTGATTAAGCATCCCAATAAGAAAATCAGATTGTAGAACAATATAACATCTCTATTTTTAGTTTTTGATATCTGTAAAAAGCCACACTGAGCTTCATAGTGGTGATTATATGATGCAAAGGAGTCTAGATCTTACTGCCTATTTTTAAAGACCCCTTTCTTCATCTGTTTTTGGTGAGAAGTCAGTTGACTGAGCAGAACTTATAGTGAGAGCTTTAGGCTTTGATTTTATTTACTATTTTTGGAAAACCCCAGTTGTTTTTAAGAATTGTTAGCTATGATTTCCCGTTTTGCTGCTGTGCCCTTCCAGTCTAAGTGGAATGAGTTTTTATGTTCATCTAATCTGTTCATACGCTTTTTCCAAATGCAGCATATTATACTTGCTAACTCTCCATTTAGAAATTGAACAAAGGTTTAGACATCTGTTGACACTCATTCGTAAAACACAACTGGCAAAAGCTATGTAGACATTAGATAAAAAGGCATAGTTGAAATATTTATAGTGGGTAATAGATTACAGTTATGTTTCAAAGTTCCCAAGGATGCTATGTATTTCACAAAAACATTTATTAGCTCTGGGTGATCGCACTGATGTTAACGCTTTTTTCCATGGGGAGAAGAGTGTGTTTAAGTTTTAGTTTTTGTTCTGTTGTTTTGGTTTTTTGCACTGCTAAATATACCCAAGGAAGTTCACCTTTTAAATCTTAAGAATTGACATTTAGTTGTTACATCCACACAGAAAAGAAATGATTGCCCAGCAACGTGAATATAAAAAGAAGAAAGCTTTGAAAAAAGCACAGAGAATAAAAGAACTTGAGCAGGAGAGAGAAGACCAGAAGGTGAAATGGCAACAGTTCAATAACAGAGCCTATTCTAAAAACAAAAAAGGCCAGGTTAGTACCTTTGATCATACTTTATAAATTTGAAAAGTGCTACTCTGATTAAAATAACTTTAAAGTGGAAAAGGTATATAGATTTTTAAAAATACATTAGTGGTTCTTAAATTCAGAATCCTCTTCAGTCTTCATTTTAGGCTTATTGAAAAAAATCTTTATTAGCCACTGTGTGCAGTAGAAACACTAAGAATGAGAGAGTTTATATCAAGAATTACAAAAGATCTAGTTGGGTTTTTTTTCAATCTGCAAACTAAAATTTGAAAAGTGAGTTGCTGTCTTTCTACTTGGAAGGGAGTGTGTTGAACCATACCTGCTTTGTTAACATGCCTTATGCTGGACATCACTGGTAGATTTTATTTAAAAGGGCACTCAGGTTCCCTTCATGTATTTTTCCTTCTAAGTGTATTTTGTAATTTTTATTGTTTCCAAAACTAATCAAGAATGGTTTCTGTTTTGTTTTCCCTAGGTAAAGAGGAGTATTTTTGCTTCACCTGAGAGTGTAACTGGCAAAGTTGGAGTAGGAACTTGTGGAATTGCTGATAAACCTATGACACAGTATCAAGATACCTCTAAATATAATGTTAGGCATTTGATGCCTCAATAATCAGAAAAACTGTTGGATTTCATCTCTGCAGGGCTTTACATTTACCTTTTTATCCTTATATTTTTCTAAAGGTAAATTATTTGTTAGATGAGTAAGGAAGACACTTTGTCATTGTTTGACTTCAGTAGAATGAAACTTGAAGAAATTGCATTTGATAACTGCTATTCATTTAACTTTCTTCATTACTACCACCACCACCACCACCACCACAGTTTCCTCAAAGTTTGTTGGGTAGAGCAACTTTTCTAGACAGATGCTGCTTAAATAAAAGCACTTAAATGAATTGTTAACCTTCCTAATATCAGGCCCCCACTTAACCAGATGCCATATACTTTTTGTAAAGTCCTAACCTGGAACTTTCAGAACCTTTGAACTTGCTACATATTCTAGCAAATCAGTGGAACGTCAAGGCAAAACACCAAACTTCTACAGAGATCTTTTTCTTACCTTAACCATAGCTGTTGGCCAGTTAAACCTAAAATAGATTAATTTGTAAGTGGCAAGGTCCGTTTTGAGGTTTTTCCTTCAGTACTTGTTTCCTAAGCCTATTAGGCCATCTCTAAAATTGATCCAGCTCTTTTATTCTTTTCATTGAGTTTTAATTCTATGTAAGAAACCATGTTTAGGACCAGCTACCTTTTCTAATGTTTTTTTTCTCTCTCTCTTTTTCCTTTTGTTTTCCTTTTTCTTTTTTGTATGTTTGCTTTTTTTCCTGTGTTGGTTTTTCACTCACGGTAGTGGTACCATTTTTTTGGATGTGAAATGTTTATATGAGAAAACAAAAAGCTGATGTATAGCCCTGTATACAGTGTAGATACTATTTTTGTAAAAAAAACCAAAACCATAAACCAAGGCTAAATTAACAAGAGTACTGAATGTTTCATCATTAAAAATTTACTGTATTTCTTGTGCATTAATCTGACCATAATTTCCCTGTATATTATGTTCATGTTAGCTGAGTTTGGAATTTTTGTTAATTAGATCAAGTTGTCAGCATTTACTGGTGTAAGTGAACATCACAGTTTTCCTGAGTTGAGTTTAAGCCAAATACATGCATAGAAAAGGGTCTTCCTGTTAATGGAAGATGGTGATTTTTTAGGATGTTAATTTCAGTTTTTGTATGTTTAACTTTTATTAAATAAAGTGTTTTTAAAATCTCTAGGGTGTGTTCTCAGAAAAGTAAAGTCTTAGCTGCCAGCATTGATAATGATTAAACCTCAATGTACTTGCATACATCAATTCCACAGAAGAGAATGAGTAGGATAAAGATTTCAATAAATCCTTATATACTCCTCTTCCATTAGACATAAGAAATTGGATTCTAAAGTTAAACCAGTCTTATTTTAAGGACTTGAGCTTTGTATAGAGTTGTTTGTAAATTTTTGGTATAAGGGGAAAAAATTACTTTGTGGATTTTAATTTTTTTGGTAAATTGAAACTTAGGAGGGTAGTGGTGAGAGGTAGAATTTTTCATCTTGCTCCTTCACCAACCCAGGAAATTACTTCTACATCCTTTAACTTATGGTCACAGGTAGAGCACGAAGGATAGAATAAAAGATGAAGTGTGTTTTAAATACAAGGTACAAATTAGAGTGAAAAATAGGCCACTTAGCCTGGAAAACTTTAAAAATATACTAATGTTCTTGTTACTTAGTTGTAATGCTATAATAACCAACAGTATCCTTGAAGGATTGCAATGGAACCCTTTTAATTAAAAAGCACAGGACAGGTGTTTGGTATAATTGACCATGTAAAATGATTTTTGGTGAGATTACCTTAGTATGTTTGTCATTCACCTGGTGTTTGTGTAGACAAGACTCCTGTGTTGAGACTTGTGCCTTGTTTGACCCCATGGGCCTTCCTTTCTGCATATTAATTTTTTTGGAGGGCTGTGCAGTAGGATGAGGAGTAAAGGTTACTATATTCTATGATTTTTTTTTTTTTAGTAGGCATATATACTTGAGATCAGGAGCCTTTGTGTCAAAGACCTAGGTTGGCTCTTTCAAAAGACCTAGGTGTCAGGATGATGATAGTGTCTCTGACAAAAAAGTTAGGACACCTGGGGAGATAGAGTACCTGTGTTGTGTTGAAGTTGAGAAGATGCTTAAGGAGAAGCATCTCATGATACCAGTAATATCTTACAAATGAAGGTAGTTCTCAGTACTCTGAAACCAAATATGACACTTGGTCTTATGAAGCTGTGTTACAAAATTTAATGGAGTTTCCTGTTAAGAAAGACTAGACAAGCTCGGTAACTGACAAATCCAGTGGTTAGTCATTTAGGGCCCCCAAGTTGCATGCTCTTCAAAACTTGACATTTGACTTTATTATTGAACAGTTGAAGGAAAGAACAATCCTAACACCCTCGAAGTAAATAAAAATTGTATTAATCACAGATAACATGCTTTTTAAGTTAACTTGTAGAAAGGCCATATTAGAAGAGTAAGGACTCAAGTCAGACTCATGTTTGAATCCTGGCTCCCTTATTACCTGTACATAACTCCTCGTTGCTTCAGTTTTCTCGGCTGTAAAATGAGAATAATTCCTGTTTCATTAAGTTGTAAGGATGAGTGAGTTAATATGTGTAAGTGCTTGGAAGAGCACGTGTCATACTGTAAGCACTATAGAAATATTTGCTGTTACTGTGCAGAGTGGTAGTGATGAATAGCTCATCTTTTTTCCTTAACTTGAACAATAATTCTTATTAAAATGCATAGTAATAGCCATTGCTTAAAATTTGTGGCCCCCAATTATACACATTACTGAAATGTCAAATTACCAAACTTGTAAGTAGTATATCCTAGTAAAGGTTAAAAATTTTATATTAGAATATCTTAGGGCACAATTCCTAATGGGAAGGGAGTACAGGTTATACTTACTTAAAATTAAAGAGGTACTAATCCAGACTTAGCTAAGGTGGATCTGTCTACCCCACAGGTGATTCCGATATGCATTCCTGGCTGAAAACCATGTGTTTTGGTAAACACAGGTGTGGGCAAAATAAGTTTACTGTGCTATTGTGACATTCTTTTGAGTTAATAAAGCTATTGTACTAATCATAACCTGGATGTCTTTTTCCATACAAACTGTAAACCTACTTTTGCCCACCCTATATAAAAGCAGTTTAATTTTTGAAATGAAGGAAAAATTACCTGAGTAAGTGGTGGTTTTCTTAGCCCAATTAGGGAAACTAGGCATTAAACTAAAATGAAATGCATCCGTTTATTGTAACTAATTTTTTTGTAATGTTTGTTTTTTCACACGAGTGCCCCTATGTTTCCATTACAATGCAGTTTTAATTCTGAGTGTGTTTGCCTTTAATAAAGCAAAGGAAAACCATCGGGTAACAAAGGAAAACCATATTTTTTTGTACATTGTGTATGTCTGTAGATTGTAATTATAAAAGGTGACAAATAACCACTTGGAAGTTCAGTCAAAAAATATTTTTAAAGCTTTGATTTGACTCTGCCTTAACTTCAATATTAGCTGAAATGAAAAATTATTAAAACCAAGGTTTTACATTTGTTAAAATCTTTAAAGTTCAATAAATACCAGATGAATTGTATTAAATTATATACTGTGAAGCAACCAATTACTGTAAATGGTAATTTATAAGTAAATGTGAACATTCTTTATATCTAGGATTTCTTTGAGTTTTAAGCTAAACTGAATTTTTACTGCATTGGAGAAGAAGAGCATAGCAGGCAAAACAACAGGTAATACAGTAGAAACAGAAACCCAAGTAATTGAATCCCTTTAAACTCTGATATTTAAAAAGCATATCTGTGTCTAGGTATGTTCTTTGGTTCAGAAACCAATATTGACATGCTAAGTTTTTTCTTGGCTAAAAATAAATAGTAAAAAAAAAATAAGATGGAAGGTGTTAGGTTTCTGTGAGGTTCTTCAATGGCCTTTTCTGCCTTTGTGCTTATATATATACACAGAGGTGGCTCTTTTGTGGCTTTAAGTGGAGTAAAGCAGATCTGAGAATAACACTGGGCTTGTGGTAGTTGACAGCTGAACTAGCTAAATATATCAAATTACGGATACTTAAGTTATCTTTCAGTTCCCAGGAAATAAAAACTGGTAATTTACTTCCACCAAACACCTCACCAGTTCATTTTTTATGAAACCGGTGCAGACTTAAGTTATGGGAATTATTAAAGTTATAATTTGTATCCTCAGTCTTTTTTAAGAGCACAGCTGAAGAGCCATGGTTATACTCCTGAAGAAAGGTTTGCCTTTTGTTTGAAGAGCTCTTTTTCAGTTTGAGGTCAAAAGTCATGATTGCTAGCTCATGATTTCCCATGGTGAAACGGATGTGTTTTTTGCCTCCCTCATACTCTTTTCAAGCCCTGTACTCCCTTAGCAAGACGCAGTGAATTTCTGACCACAGAAACAAAGATTTCAGGCTTGGAGGAAACACTTGACTCCTTAAGTCCTTAGAAAACTAAGCGTTGAAGCGTGAGATCTGCAACTAGTCTAGTCTTTAATAGATGGTAATTGTCTAATTGCTCATTGCTCAAAAGTATGCAGGAAGCAGGAGTAAACTCGTATCCCTTTGGTTCCTTTGCCCGGTTTTGCCCTCCAAAAGCACTGTCAGGTTTAGCTGACCTAGCTTTCAAAGTGTGATGAAGGTGGTCATTTAGAAGAAATTGACTTCTTAAATTTGTACTATTTATACACACTTTATAGACATTTTATGGTTTTGTTAGGTTTCTACAATGTTAATCTGTGCCTTGGTTTGAAAATCTAAAATAAATATTCCAGGTATTGGGTTGGCCAAAAAGTGTTCAGTTTTTTTCTGTATGATGACTCTAGTAGCTCTTAGTTGTCCCTAACTTCATTCGGTATGTTTCGTTAGAATGTATTGTGACCACTGTCATATCAGTGTGTTTAAAAAAAAAAATCTTTTTTGTGCAGCCATTTTAATATTGAAGATGGAAGGCAGTATGCAACATTTTTAGCATATTATGCTTAGTTATTTCAAGAAAGGTAAAAATTCAACTGAAATGCAAAAATAAAATTTGTGCAACGGGCAGCGAAGATGCTGTGACTGAAAGAATGTGTCGAAAGTGGTTTGTGAAGTTTCTTGGTACTGCTGACATTTTGGCCAAATAATTCTTTGCTCTGGGTCTGTCTTAGGCATTAGAAAATGTTTAGCAGCACCACTGGCCTCTACCACTAGAAGCCAATAGTAGGAGAGAGCCAACATACAATACCCAAATAAAAGCACTGGTGAAAATGAAAAAAAAAAGTATTTTACAGAAAATAAACGGACTTTTTGGCTAACCCAATATAGCCCTATCAATATAGATTTTAAATGTTCTTCCATAGCCAAGAGTTTGAGGAGATGGAAAAAAATTCCAAAATTCTAGGAAGTGAGTTGGTTGTATTTTAAAAGAGGTTCATTTAAAGCCATTTTCCCTTAATAATTTATGATTCTATAGAAAGGTAAAAAAGAACCAAGAAGTTGTCAGCCAGTACATACTATTTTGAAATAGACCAATTAATTTAAAAATTCAGATGTATTCCACAAGAAAACTAGTTTCTTGTTTCCTGGTACATGGGCCAGGAAGATTTTTTTTCCCCCCTTGGCAAGGTGAGCACTAAATATTGACTGGGGCATTCAATTATTGTGCAGTGGTTACTAACTGAATGGTATGCTCATGCTTAGGTTAGTCCCCCTCCCCTCTTTTTTAGAAAGACCAGGTAATCACTAACACCGATGATACATCAATCTTATAAAGGCTTTATTTAAAAAATTCTATACGACATCAAAATTGACTTCTTACAAAGTATAACCTGCCATGGAGTTTTGTGAAAATGAACCATTTTATTTAATAGAAAGTCTTTTTCTGCAAGACCTACAGAGTAACTAAAATTCATGATTAAGAATGAAGAGATTAGAAGATTGCATTCAGAGAAAGCAGAGAAGTACATACCTCTTAATTTCATTTTGGTGCTACACACTCCTAGATTAAAAGGGTGGGGTAGTAATTTACATATATTAATTTTAACCCTTACAGCCTTTTGAGAGAGGTAGTATTTATCACAACTTTTCAGGAAGAAACAGTCTCCATGAAGAAATTAAGTAACTTGCTCAGGGTCCTTAGCAAATGCTAGAACTGGGATTTAGTGACCAAAACCCCTGTTCTTATGATATGCTGTTTTTGGTAAGGAAGTATGGAATTTTTTAGGTGGAAGATAAAAGAGAGAAAGGCAGCTAGTTGCTCCAAGTAGAAAAAAAACTCAGCAGAAAACCCCCAAGGGGCTAAACAATTTTCTCATTAGAATTGACCCAGGAAGCAGTGTAGCCTTAGGGTAGGAGCTTAGCCTCAATGACTATCACTAAAAATGCCTTCATAATGCTAAAAGCTATCATTGTCACTGGGGGAGTTACACCCTTTTAGAGTAACAATGACATCATCTGAATCTTTGGTAATATGCACTGAAATAGGATTTACCTGTACCATCACTCAGGCATTTTACATACAGGGTACCTTAAGAGTCAGGTCAGCTGGGACTAAACAAGAACTTCAGACTTCTTTTCAATGTGAATGTATGTAGCCAAAGGGGTCCTTTAAAAAAGGTATTTAGAGAACAGATAGGAATGACAAAGGGCTTTGTGTCCTACCTGAAGGAGTTAAAGATTACCATATACAGTAAACCATCTGCAGTTATGTTACATGGAGTTACAGTCAAAAAGGCACCTGTTTCAATTATAGAACGGGAAATGGCAATGATTCAAATTGCCATTATTTCTGTACTGAAATAGTATCAACATAGACATGTAGGTGATAGTTGCCTCTCAATGTGGATGCTGGTTTATATTTTTTTTCCTTCACAGAGAAGGGTGGTACAAAAAGCACTCAGGTATTCTTCGTTCACAATTTTTATTTCTTGCAATTAACTCTTGTATCTTCAAAGTCAATTTGTCTTTTAAAAAATTAATACTTCTTACTCATCATACAATCCACCTTCCCTCCCCCAAGTTAAAACAAACCCAGGGAAGGAGTAATTTAGGGGGCAGTTGAAATAAGTACTCTAGGTTCCTGACAAACGCTTCTCAGCCCACCATCCAATACATATACAACAAAATGGCAGCACCTCAAGTTCACCTGAATGAAGTCCCAAATTCCAGCCCGAGGCAAGTGATGCAAGTGAATGCCATGGGAATAACAAAATGGAAGCTTAGTCATTGGCTTCTGTTTACTTTCCATGGTAGTTAGCAGAGTCTTCAAACTGTCTTACTTGGGAAAGCCAAAAGTAAGCAACTACAATATATAGAGCAATATTTTGACCCAGCCACGAGTAACTTTAAATGAAACCAGAAATAATTTACCTGGGCCACAGAAATGAATTTATGTTTTTCCTTAAGTCCCCAGCACCTGAAGTAGCAAGTTCTAATGGGCTTCTAAATGCATGCAGTTTTTCACACATCTACTTCAAAGAATTTCTTCCACTCAAACAGCACAATCAAGGATAAAATTTCTGGAGGCACAGGAAGAGCACAAGAACAAGTAAGTATATGCTGAGGCATTGTGTATGACCAAGATGGTACACTTCATATATAGAAGCAGTGAAAGTTGTTAAAGTGCTACTTACAAAGGATAGTCTGACATTACACACACAACTCAACTGCACTGCTAAATATGGTTGTCTTTATTTTCTTTTTCCTTGCCCAGCCCTAACTAAACAAAATAAAAACTACAGGACTGAAATTAACAACCCATTAAAATCAGCAATAAGTTATGAAAATCATAAAGCTTTTTTTTTTTTAAGTAATTAAGGGTAGTTAAATTATTTAAAGTATACAAAGTTCAAAGAGCCAGGGGTAAGGTCTCCAAGAAGGCTTCCTGGGTAAGGGAGAGCGGAAGGCCAAAGGGGAAAACTTGGAATTTGAAAGACAAAGGGAATACATGACAACAAAGTGCAGGCTAGGAATTTTGCTTATAATAACATTTCTGAACATATTAATAAGGGCAACAATAGCACCTGCACCGTGGGACTGTGAGGAAGGAGAGAGACTGCCTGTAGGAAAACGGAAGCAAATCTTTA